GTGAAATCGACTCCGAGGTTTGGCGCAGACTGTGCTTGGTTGACTCCCTCTGGTCCACTGTACTTGCCTAGAGCTTTGGCCAGGCGATGCTGTACTGCAGCAGACGAGCCCAGTACCGCAGCCTTGTGCAAGGCGACCGAGCAGTCGAGGTCCTCCTCGATTAAATCTAGCATGCTGTCGGAGGCCTGCGCCAGGTCCGACACCAACAGGCGAACGTTTGTGTTGTTGCTTGTCAACATGAAATCATCTATGAAGGTTGAGGGGTCCACGGTGGGGAACTTCGAAACCCAGGAGTCCATGGGGGAAACCGTATACATTTGGACGTTGTAAGTCGCAAGCGAGCAGCCAGCAGGGATGCCTTTGGTAGCACACCCCGCGTAGGTAGCCAATGTTCTGGTTGCGACAGCCCTGGGACCCCAATACTGATTCATCATAATACACGTGAGCGTCTCCGAAAATCCAGAAGAGATCGCCCGAGATTTCCATTTCTTCCGATTGGCATTCTCATAATAGTTAGATAAATCCCATAAAACCCCACCAGTGTGAACAGCTTGATAGCCAGCAAGTTCAGCCTTCAAGGCCTGAGCATAAACAGTTTCAAGCACACCTCGACCAGACTGATGAGCAAGATAAGGCCTCTTGTTGGCCCTTTCCCACCGACGAGCCTCCTCCTGGCGAATTTTGGACCACACCCTCCAAGAGTGCAGGGAGCAAACCGATACCTCGGTACGATGGGGCCCTCAGACTGGTCAGGCTTGTGCTTCTCAATCAGCGTGATAATGACGCCACGGATGGCTGTCGGGAATACTCCAATCTCCTCGATCGCTGGGGAGGAGGAGGAGGAGCAGGAGCAGGAGGAGCAGGAGGAGCAGGAGGAGGAGGAGGAGGAGGCGGAGGAGGGGGAGGAGGAGGAGGAGGAGGAGGAGGAGGAGGAGAAAGAGGGAGGAGGAGGAGGAGGAGGAGGAGGAGGAGGAGGAGGGAAGAGGGAGGGAGGAGGGGAGGGAGGAGGGAGGAGGGAGGAGGGAGGAGGAGGAGGAGGAGGAGGAACAGGAGGAAGAGGAGCAGGAGCATGAGCACCTCGGCGTCGGCGTCGTCGTCGGCCCTGCTCCTCGCTCCTTGCGCCTCGCTCCTCCTCCTCCTTCATCATCATCATCATCTCCTCCTCCTCCTCCACCTCTTCCTTTTCCTCCTCCTCCTCCTCCTCCTCCTGCTCACTCTCCTCCTCCTCCTCCTGCTCACTCTCCTCCTCCTCCTCCTTCTCCTCCTCCTCCTCTTTGTTTTCAAACTGGGTCGTCGCTTACGCGCGCGGGGCGCCCAACGTCGCATCCGACCAATATTCTGGCCGAGCCGGACTGGACCGGCCAATCGAACCGAACCGAACCGGTCGGACCGAACCGCGCGAAAACCGGAACCGAACCGAACCGGCGGCAGACCCAAGCCGAAGCGGCCGAAACCGAACCGACGTCAAAACCGAACCGGCCAAGTAAAACCGAACCGGCTGCAGAACCGGACCGAACCGAATCGAGCCGATCCCTTCGTTTATCAAGATGCAGCCAAGCCCGACGAGGACGGCCTCTGCCCCCACCCAGGGAGGGGGCGGGATGGATGGTCGACCAGCGGGGCCGAGGCTTTCCCAATGGGGGGGGATAAGACTGACCATGCTGAGAGAGGAGAGAGAGAGAGAGAGAGAGAGAGAGAAAGATCCTCCTCCTCCTCCTCCTCCTCCTCCTCCCTCCTCCGAGCGACAGAATCGGAGCTTGTTCTGCGGCTTCGCCATCTCTATGATGAGATTGCTTGTCATGTTGTCTTCAGGAAGGTTGAAGGCCACAACGGGCAAAATCTGAACGGGCATGCTGATCACTTGGCCGCTTGAGGCGCCTGTGGGACCTCATGCAGCCTGGCGGATATTCATCGCAGGGCAAGCTCCTGGAGCAAATATGTGGAATTCCTGAACATGCAGCCCCTGATTCTCTGCACTATCACATACGCATAAACTTACCAAGCCCTCGGAGAAGGCTCGCGCGGACTTCTCGGATCGGCTTTGGACGCCCCGCCCCGGCGCGCGGAACGCGCCACGGGTGGTGCCAGAGGCACCTCCAGGGGGGGGATACAGCACCGATCCAAGAGATTCGCGCGGATCTTCGACATGCTACCTACTATTTTCATGCCTGTTTTACCTGTCGACGGAGGGGATCGGTGGGACGTTTGCCACCGGGGGGGATAAGACTGACCATGCTGAGAGAGGAGAGAGAGAGAGAGAGAGAGAGAGAGAGAAAGATCCTCCTCCTCCTCCTCCTCCTCCTCCTCCTCCTCCCTCCTCCGAGCGACAGAATCGGAGCTTGTTCTGCGGCTTCGCCATCTCTATGATGAGATTGCTTGTCATGTTGTCTTCAGGAAGGTTGAAGGCCACAACGGGCAAAATCTGAACGGGCATGCTGATCACTTGGCCGCTTGAGGCGCCTGTGGGACCTCATGCAGCCCGGCGGATATTCATCGCAGGGCAAGCTCCTGGAGCAAATATGTGGAATTCCTGAACATGCAGCCCCTGATTCTCTGCACTATCACATACGCATAAACTTACCAAGCCCTCGGAGAAGGCTCGCGCGGACTTCTCGGATCGGCTTTGGACGCCCCGCCCCGGCGCGCGGAACGCGCCACGGGTGGTGCCAGAGGCACCTCCAGGGGGGGGATACAGCACCGATCCAAGAGATTCGCGCGGATCTTCGACATGCTACCTACTATTTTCATGCCTGTTTTACCTGTCGACGGAGGGGATCGGTGGGACGTTTGCCACCGGGGGGGAGCAAACAGGGGGACGAAAACAAGTGCGCCTTTCCAGCACTTGTTGGGCTCATGGCTGCAGTTCATGAGCCGATTAGGGCCCCTCTAGGGCTACTCTCCTCGAACCCTCGATCCCCCACGTGTATGGCCACCCACCCACCCCACCCTGGCCACCGCCGAACGCCCAAATCGGACGGGGTTTGCTAGCCCACGGCAGCGCTGACCTCCACTGCGTGCGCCCCGACATGTCGAGGGGCAATGACAGGGGGGGGGAAACGAGCTCAGGACTCAGGAGGCTAACGCCGGCCCATGGAATAGGTCCACGACGGCGAATCCGCACGCGCTCTGGCGGGGGTGGCCCATCGGGCCTCTATCGGCGATCGATGGGCGACGGGGGTCGACGAGAAATAAAAGTATTTAAAAAACTGTAAAATGATCGAAACATACACATACTCGGGAAATCATCCCCGGACCATTTTTGACTATTTTTGAATATTCCTCCTGTAGAGGGACACGCCCGACTTATGCCAATGAGCTGCCTCCCCCCCCCCCTAACGTTGCCCCTGACGTTCGCCATCCCGCCACCGAGCGCCCAAATCGAAGGGGACTGGCTGGCCCCCTGTAGAACTCTCCCCGACGGCGCGCGGCCCGACAGGGCGGATGAATCCCGAGCGGGGTGCGAGCAGATGGGGCCGGCGGATCGCGCAGCATCGCCAACGGATCGGCGATGCACCCGCGAGGTCGGCAATGCATCGGCGCTGTCGGCGCGGAGGTCGAGCTTCAGATCGCGCCGTGTCGCCGGCACATCGGCGGCGTGGTGCGGTCTGCCGGCCGCGTCTACTCGGACCACATGCTGGGAGATCTGGATGGGCGCCTGGTGTAACCAGCCTCGAACGTATCCCTATCCCTGAGATGGGCGAGCAAAAAGCGAGGACAATCTTAGGGATAGGCCCTCAGAAACTGAGGGAATCCTTAAGATCGGCATCGAGGTGAGGTGATGTCAAACATAGGTCGGGAGCGGCAAAGAGGGGGGTGTCCAAGAGGAGGGGGTGCAAATCATGACCGGCGGCATGTGCGCGGCCCAGCGGGGGGGCCTGGGACGTAATAAAATAAGAAGAGGCGCCATGAAATCAGAGGAAAAATCATGGCCCGCGCCATGAAATCCACCCCCCCCTAGTCCTCACCCCCCTCTTTTCCGCCCCCGAATAGGGATAGGGATATGTTTCAAACTGGTAGTGGTGGCTTTCGGGTCAGGACTCGGGCCCGCCAGTGGCCGACGGGGACGATCCGGGATCCCCGAGACCGCCCTCGGCGAGGCGCGGCCGCCGCAGGGCAACCCGAGGCTGGGAAGGCGCCGAGAGCCGAGAGCGCCCATTCACTTTGAGTTTCGAGCCTCGATACACCCTGCGAAATGCTTTAGAAATCATGGGTTAAGAAATTCATAGTCTCAGAACTTGAGTAAAAACCCAACATTTCTATTAAAAGCTTAAGATTTACATTGAAACGTTAAGAATAATCGAGACTCTGGCCGAAAACTTGGGTTTTCTTAAGCATCGCCTAAGGTGTACGTCGCCCCCCCCCCCGAGCCTCTCACCCCTACCCCATCGGGTGGTCACAAAGGTGGGGTAGGGGCAGAGGTGGGTCCAGAAGGAACGCCGCTCTAAATGGCCCCTGGAAGAAGGAAGCGTGAGCCTCCGGCTGGTGTCGTTCCCTTTTGCCCACCTTGGGAGAACTCCCCTCTACGAGTCCCCGACCCTAGCCATGCCTAGGGGACCGAACAACGACATAAGCAAAAAAAAACGGAGGACCGCGCGGATTTCTGGGATCTGCGCTGGACCCCCCTCCCTGGCGCGTGGAGCGCGCCAGGGAGAGCGCCGGAGGCGCCGCCGGGGGGGGGTCCCAGCGCGGATCTTAGAAATCCGCGCGGACCTCCGAAATGTTATGTTTATATCATTATTCGTTCCCCCTTTCACCCATCTTGCGATAACTCCCCCCTACGAATCCCCGACCCTGGGGAAACCAAAAGGTGCCGATACCGCTATTCCCCCGACCTCTCCCGGGGTGCGTTCTGACCAGAATCTCGAGGCGAACCCAGCGGTGGGGACGAGGGCCTCCGAGGAGGCCCAACGGGTACGAGGGTATGGGTACCTGTTCCTCCTCTGCGAATCCCCGACCCTGGCCATGCCCACGAAAAAACAGGGGGGGGGCAGCCGGCGTGCCTGCTCGGTGTGCCAGCCGTCGCGCGGATCGACTGCCTCCGCAGGCTCACTGGCTCCGAAGCGTCGGCCTCGGTCGTCTCGGCGGACGTGCCGGGCTCAAGGGCCTCGTTGGGCTCGGTGGCGGTGCTCGGGGTGTGGTCCTGGAGGGGGGGGGAGGAGGAGGAGGAGGAGGAGGAGGAGGAGGAGGAGGAGGAGGAGGAGGAGGAGGAGGAGGAGGAGGAGAGGAGGAGGAGGAGGAGGAGGAGGAGGAGGGAGGAGAAGGGGAGGAGGAGGGAGGAGGAGGAGGGAGGAGGAGGAGGAGGAGGAGGGGGAGGAGGGGAGGAGGAGGAGGGGGAGGTTCTCGAGGCCGGGGGATTGTGGAGTCGCTGTGGGTTTTAGACGAACATGTACGATATTTCACGTTGTTCCTCATCATTATGCTGATGTTTCCTTTCTCGTTTTTTTTTTGTCTCTCTCTCTCTCTCAATCTCTCCCACTCCCATTCCCATTCCATTCCCATTCCCAATACCATTACCATTACCATCCCCATTCCCATTCCCATTCCTATTCACATTACCGTTACCATTACCATTACCTTTACCTTTATCTTTACCTTTACCTTTACCATTACCATTACCATTAGCAGTACAATTGCCAGTGCCATTACCATTGCCAGTATCATTGCCATTGCCATGGTATTGCCATTGCCAGTCGCAACCCCGTTACCATTACCGTTACCATTACCATTACCATTCCCATTACCATTCGCCACTACCATTACTATTGCCATTATCATTAGCATTACCAGCACAATTGCCATTACCATTACCATTACCGCTGCCATCACCATTACAATTCCCATTCCCATCACCATTGCCATTCGAATTAACGTTACCAGTACCATTTCCATTACCATTGCAATTCTCATTACCACTACCACTACCATTTCCATTCCCGTTCCCGTTCCAAGTACCACTACGATTCCCATTCCCATTCCCATTCCCATTACCATTACCATGACCATGACCATGACCATTGCCATGGCCATTGCTATTGCCATTGCCATTGCCGTTGCCATTCCCATTGCCATTGCCAGTCCCATTACCATTACCATTGCCATCGCCGTTGCCATTGCCAGTCGCCACCCCGTTACCATTGCCATAACCATTACCATTACCGTTATCGTAACCATTACCATTCCCAATACAATTATCATTACCACGGTCATTGCCATTACCATTACCATTGCCATTGCCATTCGCCACTACCATTACCATAGCCATTCGCCACTACCATTACCATTACCATTGCCATTGCCATTGCCCTTCGCCACTACCATTACCATTGCCAGTACCATTACCATTCCGATTCACATTCCCATTCCCAATACCATTACCATTACCATTACAACTGCCATTGCCATTACCATTACCTTTACCTCTAACTTTTCATTTACCCTTACCCTTACCATTCCCATTTCCGTTACCACTACCACTGCCATTTCCATGCCCGTTCCCATTCCCATTCCCATTCCCATTCCCATTCCCGTTCCCATTCCCATTCCCATTCACATTACCATTGCCATTACCATTACCATTGCCATTGCCATGGCCATTACCATTGCCATTGCCATTACCATTACCGTTGCCATTGTCATTGTCATTGCCATTGCCAGTCGCCACCTCGTTACCACTATCATTACCATTACCATTACCAGTACCATTACCATTACCTCTGTCATTACCATTACCATTCGCATTGCCATTGCCATTGCCACTAGCCACTACCATTACCATTGCCAATACCATTTCCATTGCCATTCCTATTCTCATGACCATTACCTTTACCACTACCATTACCATTATCATTATCATTTCCATTGCCATTACCATTACCGTTACCTCTACCTTTACCTTTACCCTTACCCTTATCATTCCCATTTCCGTTACCACTACCACTACCATTTCCATTCCCGTTCCCGTTCTTTCTCCCATTCACATTCCCATTCCCGTTCCCATTCCCATACCATTGCACTTACCATTGCCGTTGCCATTGCCATGGCCATTATCATTGGCATTGCCATTGCCAATCCCATTGCCATTGTCATTACCATTACCGTTGCCATTGTCATTGCCATTGCCAATCGCTACCCCCTTACCATTACCGTTACCATTACCATTACCAGTACCATTACCAGTACCTCTGTCATTACCATTACCATCACCATTGCCATTCGTAACTACCAATACCATTGCCAATACCATTTCCACTCCCATTCCCATTACCATTAGCATTACCATTACCATGAGACTACCGCTGCCATTACCATTAGAATTCTCATTCCCATTCCCAATACTATTACAATTTCCATTGCCATTACCATTACCATTACCATTTCCAGTGCCATTACCATTACCACTACCACTATCATTTCCATTCCCGTTCCCGTTCCCAGTCCCACTTCCATTCCCATCACCATTACCATTACCACTGCCATTGCCATTACCATTACCATTACCATTACCTTTAACTCTACCTTTACCTCTAACCTTACCATTACCATTACCATTGCCATGGCCATTACCATTGCCATTGCCATTGTCATTGCCATTCCCATTGCCATTGCCATTACCATTACCGTTGCCATTGCCATTGCCATTGTCATTGCCTCGCTACCCCGTTACCACTATCATTACCGTAACCATTACCAGTACCATTACCATTGTCATTACCATTACCATTACCATTACGATTGCCATTGTCATTGCCATTCGAGGATTTCGGTAGGAATCATTCAGTGGAGGGTTTCAATAGGAATCCACATGTGGAGGATTTCGGTAGGAATCATTCAGTGGAGGGTTTCGATCGGAACCCTTCTGTCGAGGATTTCACTGTGAATCCTTCTTATGGGGGCGTCCAGTAGGAATCCTTCTAGGGGGGAGGGCAGATGTGGCCACGTCGCATTCCTTTCATTTTTTTTCTCATGGCGCCCCCCCCCCCAGAAAAAAAAATCAAAAACAAGACAAAAAAACATGTTTTATTTTTTTTTGTTTGGGGGGGGGCGCCAGGAGAAAAAAAAAAAAAGTCAGAGAGGTAGCAGGAGGGGGAGAGGGAGGAGGAGGAGGAGAAGGCGGAGGAGGAGGAGAGGAGGACGACACTGAGATATGGGGGTCCGCCATATGCATGAATGTTGTCTTGTTGTCGCCGTCCACGCCCGCGACCGCCCCGCAACCCACACGTGAGCCACCCCGCGACCCATCCTCGACCGACCCGGCCCCCGATCCCTCAATCTTATCCGCAACTGCGGGGCGCTACGTATTTGTATGTGGGCCCCCTGGGGCCCAGATGTATCCATACGCGCCATTTCCCGAAGTCCAGGAAGCTCGGCTTCCCAGGCGGTGGATAGATCACAGCCTCGGATGAGGACTCTGAGATTCTAGGCTGGCCCCGCGTGCTTAGGGGCACGAGGCCCAGGCAGAAACACGTTGCAGGCGGACGCCGACAGCGGCGGCGGCGAAGACGAACGACGATGTCGAGATGACGACAAAATGATGACGACTGACGAACGAACGTGAACGAATATGACGGCGACGACAATGGCAGCCGCAAGTCACGGAAAAATGATGGGTACTCGGGTGGGGGAGGAGGGTGAGGAGGAGGGAGGAAGGAGGAAGAGGAGGTGGAAGATCGACGGCCGATGCCTCTGAGCGCTCCCTGCCTCCTCTCCGGAGCGAGGGCCCCGAGAGCCCGCACACCGCGAACAACACCTCGGGACCTGCCTGTTGCGTGGCGGGTAGTGAGAGGTCCCCATTGCCCCCGCAGCTGGGGGGGCGCTGGCCGCGGCGTGCAGCTGGGAGCACGCGGCGCGTCTGGCAGAGCAGTGGCCAGAGTGAGCGCGCCGCGCTCCCAGCGGAGGCCCCTTGCGATTCATGCGGGGCGGCGTCGTGCTGGTGAGCACATGGAGGAGGACGAGGGAGATGACAAGGTGCGGGCGGAGAGAAGAACGAAGATGCTTGCTGCTTTCACCGCGGCAACTTCTTGCCAGCAGCTGGTTGCTGACCACGGCGAAAGACAGAATTGGACGCTCCTCTCCCCTTTAGCTGGAGTTCTCGGCAATGTGATCAGCACAGGCGGGGACGAGGGGCTGTTCATCTCCTCCGAGGAGGAGGAGGTCCTCCGAAAAGCGGCGAAGAGCATCGGCGTCAAGCGTGCTGCTATCTCCCGTCGGCCCAAAAGACGCCTGCACAAGCGGATGAGACAAGCTGCTTCCAATTTCGCCAACAGCACGAGACCCTGAGCTGGTGAGACCATCCTGGGACGCTATGCCAGGACTCTACTACGTAACCCACGCGAGTTCTCCGAGCAAAGACTACCACGACGGATACCTTCTGAACGTGGTCAGGTAAAGCAAGATGACCGACAGTCCACAGAGAGGGGAGCAAGTAAACATTCCTCTCCCTCTCTCTCTCTCTCTCTTTCGCGGCGGAGGCTGCTCCTAAGCTGTCAAAAAGGCAACCCAAACAGATACAGAACAGAGAGCCGAGGAGGCCTCGAGTAGCGGCCTGGGAGAAGTCTACCCACCCCCATCTTGACTCGCAATCCATGTGGCACTGCCACCAAGATCCACACGAAGGCCGGGCGTGGGCTTCTGGATTCCCGTGAGCCAGGCCTCCAATCCGAAGACACATCCGGGTGCTCTGAGAGGCATCGAAAGAAGTGGCCCGCGCCGTGGAGGTGGCCCGCCCGCGGAGGTGTTCGTGGAGCCCTGAAATCAAGACGATCTCTGGATCAACATTGAAGTCTCCTCCAGTGGTGGCGGGGCCAGGGTTGATCGCGAGGTGGGCGCCGACCTCTTAGAGCAAGACGACCTGGCGAGCATCCATGCCCTTCGAGTCAGCCGGGGTGGGGACGCCACTTGGAAGGTGAACATTGGCAGCAATGGCTCGACCAGACACTGTCGTATAACCTCCTGGTGGGATGCGAAGCCCCAAAACATTTCTGGCCAAAACTGCAACACCACCCAACGTGCCCCCTCATGTTTCCAAATGGCGGGCTCCCAGATCGATTTCCAACTGGCACGCAGACAAGGTTTGACGGCTTTCTGAGTGATGCTCTTGTCGAGAGATGAAGCGAGAAGGCTCGCGCTGGCCAGCCCAATCCCAGAAACTACCCCATCCGTCGCAATTTACGATCGTGACCACAAGTAAGAGCTTCTCTGAGGCGGGGCCCAGATCGGACGGCGCTGGCAAGTGGGAGAGGACCTTACAAACTTCTGCAACGGGGGAGGCTGACTCGTTGAGAATGCGCAGAAGGGGCCCTCCGACCACGAACTTTCCCCGAACCGCACGAGCTGAGGCCCGCCAGGGAACGTGCAAAGCGTGATCGCATCCCCGCCTGCTGCAGACTGCGGCTGCTGAAAGAAATGGGGTGACGTACCGATTGCCTTGGGGAGCCCCTGGTTCAGCTTTGGACTAGCCCCCGAAGGCGGGACGTGGCTCGCACCAGGAGAGTTTCTAGCGCCAGGGACTGGAGAGATAAGAGATCGGCTGAGGATCCACCACCAACTTCATTCGACAAGGCGTCAGCAGGAGGCCGCGGATGATCGCCTGCTTCGCCTCCTGGAACAGTACCATCCTCGGTCCTCCTGTTCTTTTCCTACAACCTAACGACGTGGGTACTGCGTTCTTCCCGAACCGCTGAAAAAGAGGCGGGAAGCTCGGCGAACAACTACTTGGCGAGGTCACGAACACCAGAATGAAGAATCTTCTTCCGCGCGTCCATCTGCCCAATGTTCTGGGGAGACATTTCGTACTCTTCCGCACCAATACACCCCACCACGCCACGGATCTGGAGGACCAACTTACGGTAGGTCGACCCGTGGGAACCGAGCTCACCACCCAGTAGCAGCGACATCCTGCTGCCACTTCTCTAGCTTGTCCAATTCGCCAGAAATATGCTTCAGGGCCTGTGAGGCTTTGGTGTAAAGGCTTCAAGTCTACTCAATTCGGGTGCGATCCTTAGCGTCGATAGCCGCCTTCTCACGGCAACACTTCTTAGCAAGGTCAGACTGGCCTTGATTGGTGGCTAACGTGTTGAGCATTCCCGAATCCTCGGACGAGATCCCGTCGGTGCTGAGCTTGTCCTTTGGCTGGGGACACAAACCACGACTGCCACGCCCATCTCCCAGAAGTTCCGACAGGTCTTGGAGGAAGAGGCAGCAGAGAAAGATCGGCAACATAACTTTGGCAATGCTCTGACAGCGCGCTGTCCCCAGCAGATTCGAAGTCGAACGCCCACGGCGTTGCAGTGTTTGCACCACCATGTACTGTAGTTCCTGTTTTTCGCACATTCACAGCTGCCACAGTGCCACATGTTCCGATTGATTGGCGGCAACTTGTCCACCCAAGGATACCCAATACCTGGACGTGCATGGTGCAAGACGTCATCATGTGGGCAAATCCCCTTAGGCGTATAGGCGGAAAACTTGGCTCGCAACAACAACTATGCCGTTCTGAAAATTGCTGCTGCAAGCTACTGCCCCAAGACTCAGGAAACAAAACGGCTGGGAACACGAGGATGGGCAATAGCAGCATCATGAAGATGAAAAGGGGCAGCAGAGGAGAATGGTCCCCGGTTCGCCGTTCGGGCCAACTCGGCTCTTGCCCTTCATCGTTGAGCGCGGGGACCAAGATGATGCAGTTGCCAGCAGGCTCTTGCAGCCTGCGGTGGAACATCGCTCCATCTCTCTCTCTCTCTCTTTCCGGCCATCCCACCCTTCCAATTCTCCTCTTTGCCGTCCCCTATCTGTGTGACTCTCTCTCGCCCTCCCTTGCCGGAGGGATAGTGGAGAATGGGAGGAAGGGGAGGGGGGCAAGATCATTTGACATGGCGGCGGGCAGGATGGGGAGGAGTACTCGATGATGTCTGCCAACGCCGACTCCAAACAGTAGTTCCTTGCACACTGTATTTGTAATGCGTATATCCACCACGGTGCCGTAGGCACTGATTGGAGTGTCGTCAGGTCCGTGCGAGTTGTCTGTGTGGACTAGCTGCATGATATTGAAAAGATCTGATACCCTGAAAGACGACGACGACCGACGACGACGACCGACGGACCGACAGACGAGCGAGCGGATTCACCCAGTGTGGGAGCGAGGCGCGAATACAAGGCTAGGACCCCCGCCCCTGCACCCCCCCCTCCCCCCGCCTTATGTATATGTTTGAATACATAAACCGAGTGAGGTGCCAGCCTTCAATTCTTTCGAAGGGAACTGCTCCAGCCGCCTACGCCGACAAGAAGGGGTGGATCCAGCCAGTGTTCCTGCTGGCCATTGCAGCCCTTGATTTTACCCAGTGCGAGTGTTCCAGCCGCCCACGGTGTGGGTTCCAACTCAGAGAGAGCGTTCCAGCTGCCCTCGGCGTGGGCTCCAGCCACGCATTTTTACCCAGCGCGAGCGTTCCAGCCGCACACAGCTTGGGTTCCATCCATGCACTTCTACCTAGAGGGAGCGTTCCAGCCGCCCACGGCGCGATTTCCAGTCATGCATTTTTATTCAGCGCAAGCGTTCCAGCCACGCACGGCGTGGGTTCGAGCGATCGTTTGCAGCCGCACACGGCGTGGGTTGCAATCATGCGCTATTGAGCGTTCCGGCAGCCTACGGAAACATCTCACTAGTAAATTGATCCACCGACTGTAGGAACGCTTCAGGGCCGTTGAACTCGACTGGAAGTCGTTAAGCTGAGAGTAGCCCAAATCAAGCCCAAGATAAAACTGAGCCCGAATAAGCCGGATGAACAAGGTGCGAATGACTCGGCCAGAGTGGGCGGGTGTTCGCCCAGTGCCAGAGCCGATGCTGAATTCAACCTCCCCAGAGTTGCATCCTAAGACATGGGGTCTGCTTCTGGGGTCATGGGCCATCCTGTCGTCGCCGCCGGGCTCGGAGAACGGCGTCACTGCCGCCGCGCACGGAGAACATGGGCCCTGCTTTCCTTTCCTCTCCCCTGTCGCCTCGTCGTTCGTCCTCGCCCCCTATGTTTCCGCTTCAAGCGCAAACTTGGAGGGAGAAGAAGAGGCGGACAACACCGACAGAACACCTCCCTGACGCGGACCTAGGAGCAATGCCAATGCCGGACAAACGATGAACCAAAACTCGACCTAAAAGGTGTTTTCCGTTTTCCGTGTTCGTCCTCCCTCGTTTCGTATTCGCTCCGCCGTTGCGGCAAACTGAAATCAAAACAAAAACGGTCCACGAAATCGTCAACTCACTGTTTAGGTCGAGCCTTGCCGAAACCATTAGCTTAGAGAAGGTGTCCAGCAAAAGCGTTCGAGATGATTCTTATGGGAGCCCAGACGGGCACAGTATTCGCTCGTTCCTCTCTCTGTGCTGCTCGTGTGTCGACGTCGTCGTCGTCCTCCTCCTCCTCCTTCTCCGAATTTTGTGGGCTGGCGTGGGGTTCCCCCTTGCGGCATGCGTGTTCGTCCTCTGCACCCGCCTGTTTTCGAAGAGCAAAGAATAACATAAGCGCAACATGTCGGACACCCGCATGGATTGTTTGGATCGGCGCTGGAAACCCCTCCACGCCACGAATAGCGCGCCAGGGGCGGCGCCGGGTGCGCCGCCAGGAGGGCCCAGCACCGATCCGATAAATCCGCGCGGAGCTCTGAAAGTTTATGCTCGTGCAGTTCGTTCTCCTGCGATCTTCGACTCAAGACACGAGGACGAGGAGAACGAGGAGAACAAGGAGGACGAGGAGGACGAAGAGGACAATGAAGGCGAAAGGACGAGGACGACGGAATCCGCACCATACACGTCCCCTTGTCAACCCGCCGCGCCGGGCGCCTCACGGAGCTGACGGCGCTGTGCAGCGTGGTGCCGCTGCGGGGCACACGCGCTCATTCCCGCCCACGCTCCAACCCACCATCCCTCATTTTCCTCTCCCTCCCCCTCCTTCCCCTCCTCCTCCTCCCCGTCCTCTCCATCCTCCCCCTCTCCCTCCCCCTTCTCCGCCCCGCCCCTACTCCCCCCTCTCCTTATTCTCCCCCTCCTTGCCCTCCCCTTCACCCTCTTCCTCCTCCTCCTCCTCCTCCTCTTCCTCCCACTCCTCCTCGTCCTCGTCCTCCTCCTCCTCCTCCTCCTCGTCCTCGTCCTCCTCCTCCTCCCTCCTCCTCGTACTTCTCCTCCTCCTCCTCCTCCTCTTCAGCGTTCTCCTCCTCCGCGTTCTTCTCCTCCTCCTCCTCTCCTCCTCCTCCTCCTCCTCCTCCTCCTCCTCCTCCCACCCCTTTTTCCCTTCTCTTCCTCCTCCTAACCTTTTCCCCTCCCTTGTGTCCTCCCTCCCTCCTCATCTTCCTCTCCCATCCCCCGTCCTCATCCCCCATCCAGCCTGCTTATGGTAAAACGCTTCCCTGTGGCACCCCCAGACCTGTGGGTAGGGCGGGTTGGGCATTTCGCCGAACCTTTCCCCACCAATTACGCCACTGAAGCTTGGAATGCGGATGGCAGCGGGGCCCTTTTCCACACGTTCGTGCTGAACGTTTGTAGCAGCTACATGTATAGGATGTAGTTGTGAGCAGTGCTGGCGCTCGCTAAAGCGTCGCGTGCTGTTTGCTTTAAATTCTTGCCACAGATTTCAGGATTCAGAAATGTTGTTTGAAGGCGGTTCCCGCCTTGACACCGCGCAGGTTCGTCTTCCATTCTGCAGCAACTATAAGTATGGAGGACGGTTCCTTTACAAATTGAGCTCTCGTCTTAGAGCCGCGCGCGTTTCACGGGTGCTTGCCCTGGGAACCTCTCACGACACATCGGAACGGGGGGGGACCCCCCCGCCCAAACATCCCGCGCGCCCGCCCCCACCCAGCCCCACCTGCACCCGCCTCTTCCCCCCTTGATGCGAAGACCTTGAACCAGAAGGGCTAAGCTCGAACCGTGGGGGGCTAAACATACGGCACCCGGCAACCGTCATCGTGGTCGTCGTCGGCGGTCGCCGTCGGCGTCGCTGTTTGCCGGCGTCGACGACCACCAGTGTCGTTCACCAACATCGACTTGAACGGGGGTCATCAAACCCCCCGAGCGCGTGGGCGCCCTGCCGCGACGGTGTGCGGGCGACCTCCGTTTAGAAGAGAAGCAGGAGGAGGAGGAGGAGGAGGAGGAGGAGGAGGAGGAGAAGGAGGAGGAGGAGGAGGAGGAGAAACCCCCTGCCCCTGCATCTGGGGAGGGGGGGGATGGGGGGGGTGCAGCCCCCGCCCTCCACGCGGCCACAGAGGGCGTTTTTTTTTGTCAGACATAGAGGTCGGTCCTTTTCAGAAACTTTCCCAAATGTGGTTCTCGCCTCAGCGCCTCGCACACTCACCCAATCAACTTGCAACAATTCGAAGGTAGGATTACGGAGAGTGGCTCCTGTTCGAAACTAGGACATCGCTCGACCAGAAACTTGAAAGTATGTGAGAGCTGAACGGCCTCTGCGTACATGACCTGAAGGGTAAAGGCGTGCAAGGATGACACTTGTGCAGGCGGTCTTGCGTCAACGCAGGATTATTGCTGGATCTGTTGGTCTGTATGATGTACGATCATACGTTTTAGCACGTCGTATCGCTAAAGGATGCAAAGCAGTTCCATTTCAAAAATTGAGCTCTGGACTGACTGGCAGGCCCAAGGAGGGCTGGTCTTTCAAGGGGGCGCTTTTTACAGTGAAAGAGAAGGCGTGTGGTTTACGATGAGGGGTACTTGGGGCGGGAGGGTGTATTGCAGCATCACTGATGCATCTTAGGTTTACTCTGGTCCTCTTGCTCCTCTTCCTCCGCCCCCCCTTCCCCCTTTCCTTCCTCATCCTTGTCCCCCTCGTCCTCCTCCCTCTCCTCCTCTGCCTCGTCCCCCTCCCCCTCCCCCTCCTCCCTGTCACCGTTCCCCCTCCCCCCGCCCCTCCTCCTCCTCCTCCTCCTCCTCCTCCTCCTCCTCCTCCTCCTCCTCCTCCTCCTCCTCCTCCTCCTCCTCATCATCATCATCATCATCATCATCCTCTTCTCCTCCTCCTCTCCCTCTACTTCTGTCTTGCTTTCGTATTCTTCTTCACCCGCATCTCCCTCTCCCTCTTCCTTACCTTCCCCTTCCCAACTTGTCTGTTCCTCCTCTTCCTCCTCTTCCTCCGTTCACTCGCGTGCCTCCTCTTCATCATTCCCCGCCCCCGTTCTCGTCCTTGTCGTCGCCGTCGTCTTCTTGAGGCACACTCGACCATCTTAGAGCCCGCTGCATTCCACAGAACAGGTAACTCCGAGAAGCACGAGGACCCTCGATCCAATCGCCGCTCGAAACCCTTGATCTTACTGCTCGAAGCAATAGCTGGTTCGCGCTCCCCGTCACGCAAGCTCCGTGCATCATATTACACATAGTTGTCGTCCTCACCTCGGCAATCACCAAGATTACACACCAATCGATCCTCTCCCATGGCCGCATCCCTGGTAACGTGCTGAGGCTTTTCGCGCCTATTGCAGCAACGACCCCGTGCGACATCCAGCACGTCCTCGCACGCAAAGCCACGGTCCGTAGCAGCGCGCCAAGAACGGACCCTCGCTGCCACGGCCACGTTGCCTGGTTGCGATCGATGGACTTGGCACGGACGACAAGTTGCCTCGGTTACTTGGGAGCCCCCAAACCAAGTGGTGAGATATCAAGTGGTGACCTGGAATCCCCCCCAAGTCACCGCCGGGTTCTGTCACTCCTGGACCCACCAACGTTCGGGACATCCTCGAAAAAACACACGAGTCCCAAAACCGGGTGGTGACACCAAATCGCCCGAGACTCACCGCCGGATGTTGTCACCATCACGTTTGGGGACTACCAAGCTACGCGCAGGTGTGACCCGATCGGCAGAAGTGATCTCTGGCGACGGGGCGCGGGGAAGCCAAGTTGGGCCCTCGGGCGCCTGCCGGTGGCGTGCTCGACCTCGGGGTCCCCGGAGGGGCGGCTCCTTCGAAGCCTTCGGTGCAGCGAGAGAGGGAAGGCCAGTGGCCACACCCTCTCGAGACGAGTGTCACTGGGAAACGCTGTGCTCTACGTGGTTCCCCCTCGAGCTCGCCGAAGCGCTGGCGGGCGAGGATGCTCCTCCTCCTCCTCCTCCTCCTCCTCCTCCTCCTCCTCCTCCTCCTCCTCCTCCTCCCGCCTTCGCCTCCTCCCTCTCCCGCCTCCGGCCGGGGGCCCCTCGGGCGCCTGCCAGGCGGGCTCGACTCCAGGCTCCCCGAAGTGGGGAGATTCCGCGCGGGCGGAGGAAAAGATTCCGCCTCCTCCCGCCTTCTCCTTCGGGGATCTCCTGGCCCGGGTCAATCCAGACCCAGGGCAATCAGCCTTGCAAGATCCTGCAAACTCTTTCAGGATCCTCCAGGATCCGGCACGCTGACCCAGGTCAGTGCAGCCCTGGCCCTGCACGATTCTGGAAGATCTGGCGCTCTGACTGACCCCCGTTGGCATTGACCCCTGTCCCTTGAGCCCCGACTCCTCCTCCATCTCCTTCCTTCGGCCATGCCACACCAACCTTGTTGGACATAAGAGAGGTGCGGCGATTTCTTGACCCCTCATTTGGCGACAACCTCCTGCAAGAGGGTACAGGGGCCAGAGGGCGTCAGCTATGCAAATTCGCCGATCCCTGCCAGGCCGAAGCTTCAACGAGTCAGGAAGGATATAATTGGGCATGGTTGGCGAACCCCAGAAGGGATTCCCTACCACGCATGCCACAGTGTGCAACGAAGGCCAATCATCCATTATACCGGCAAAATTGCTATCAAGAGTCGTAAATGACCAACGCAGGTCGCCCCGTGCTCCAAAATAAAAGTCAGCGTGCTAAAAGATCCAGCGAGAGGGAACATGCATATAGTTCGCGCTTGTGGCGGCCCCTGAGGTAATCAATGAAATCGGAAACCCCAATCCCATTTTGAAGAAATTTGGAACTCATTCGGAAAAGTATGTCTGGATCCGCACCCTCGCGTGGATCACGCCTGCAATTGCGCCACGCAGACTGCGCATTCACTCCTAGCTGCGAACGTGCGCGAAACGTTCAATCATCATCACGCCGTTCACTCACCAATCACGTCTCTGCCCCCTCCCCAATTTGGCCCATTCCATTGCGGCCGTGCGCCCTACCGCGGCGACGAGGTCACCGGATCCAACGGCGGCGCCTAGTTGAAGATTGATGTATCACAATTACACCAAAGAAAAATCCCAATCAGCGGATGCTTTGAAAATTAGTGATATAGATATTGAGATCGATTGTGCGATCGATTGTGGAATAGATAGTGAGGACGACTGTAAGTTCGATCGTGAGACCCACAATGAACTCGATTCAATGAGATCGATAGTGAGATCGATCATGAAATAGCTCGAACGATGTATAACGAGATAGACTGTGAGATCGATAATGAGATCGATTGTGAGATCGATGAAAAATAGGCTAATGAAATCGATGATGAGACCGATCGATAAGAAACTCGACCAACCATCGGGAATCCGGAACCCCGCCGCCTACTGAAATCGGCCAGGAACCCGGAACCCGGAATCTGGGAAACCGGAACCCGGGAACCGGGGAACCCGGCCGCCCACCGAAATCGGCCTGGAACATTTGCCAAATCTTTCATTCTCCGCTAAGACCCCTTCAGTGCCTCCTACCGCGGCGACGAGGTCACCGGGTCCAACGGCGGCGCCTAGTTGAAGATACATGTACCTAAAAATCAACGGACATTTAACTTACGTTTAAAACGCACTTTACATAATCACGAATACGTTTCTTTACAAATACGTGAACTTGCTAAATCTTCGTCTACGAAAGCGAATCCGCCGACCCCTTGGGGATCATCGGCGTGTGAGATGCTTCCCCCTCCCCAAACCCCTCCCCCGGGAGCCCGGTCCGGTCGATTTGGAGGGGGGGAGGGGTCCGGGACGAGCGCTCCACGGGGCTTTTCCTGGCCCAAGAGGGCTTCAAGACGGGCCACGAAGCCCCCAAGAGGCCTCCAAGACGGCCCACGAAGGGGCTCCGAGAAGCCAAACGACCGCTCCAAGACGCCCACGATGGCCCCAAGACGGGCCAAGAGGTCTCCAAGACGGCCCCTGAGGTCCCAAATGAGCCCCCCAAGAGGGCCCAAAGAGTCAAAAATTGCTGATTTTCCAGAGTGTTTTTCTATGTTTTTTGCTTTTCCGCCTTTCTGGCTTCCCGACGCTCCAAGACGGGCAAAGAGGCCCCAAAGATAGCCCCAAGATGGCCCAAGAGGCCCCCAAGACGGCCTCCAGACGGCCCAAGACGGCCCCAAGACGGCCCAAGAGGTCCCCAAGACGGCCCAAGAGGGCCGATTTGGAGGGGGGGAGGGGGCCGGGACGAGCGCAGCACGGCCGGGACGAGCGGTTCCAGGGCTTTTCCGGGCCCAAGAGGGCCTCAAGACGGGCCAAGAAGGCTCCAAGAGGCCTCCAAGACGGCCCACGAAGGCTCCGAGACGCCAAACGACCCCTCCAAGACGCCCAAGATGGCCCCAAGACGAGCCAAGAGGTCTCCAAGGCGGCCCCCGAGGTCCCATACAAGTCTCCCAAGAAGGCCCCAAGAGTCTAAAATTGTTGATTTTCCATAGTGTTTTTCGATGTGTTTTGCTTTTCCGCCTTTTCGGCTTCCCGACGCTCCAAGACGGCCAAAGAGGCCCCAAAGACAGCCCCAAGATGGCCCAAGAGGCCCCCAAGACGGCCTCCAGACGGCCCAAGACGGCCCCAACACGGCCCAAGAGGTCCCCAAGACGGCCCAAGAGGGCTCCAAGACGGCACCACGAGGGGCCCAAGAGGGCGACCAAACATGTTGAAACTCTAGCTTTCTGCCCCCAGGAGCCCCAGGGGGCCCCAAGAGTGCCCCAAGAGGCCCCCAGAGGCCCTCACGAGGCCGCCCAGACGCCCCAAGGAACCCCCAAGAAGCACCCCAGAGGCTCCGAAACGGCCCCCGAGTGGCTCCAAAACTCGCAGTGTCGCTGTCCGCTCGGACCTCCCCGCGGAACTGCCCGAGACCCTCTGGCGGTGGCGGCGAACAGACACCAAACAAATATCACTCGCCTTTTCACCCCTTCGCAGCTTCTACTACCCCCAGATTGGCATAAACAAGGGGTCGGCGGTGTGGCGTAAGCCTAAGAATCTTCGTCTACGAAAGCGAAAATCGAACAACTATAACGATTGTTTTGAACTTTTGGTTGTTTCCTCCCCGGATCTGGAATTTAATTCGACGAAACCCACGTCGACCTTCCGCCGCGTGGCCCCGGAAGAACAATGCGCGCAGCGGCGGCCATTATGGGACGCCCAACTTGGTCGAACTACAACGAGACCCGCTCGCAACACCACCAGGGACTCGCGAAAACGAGTCAAGATACTGGCATATTCAAACGCAGGGCACGAGGTGCACCGCCTCCGAAATCGAGAGACGGCCCGAACCTCTGTGGGGCAGGCCTTGTCTAAAGTCTCGAGGGTGGGGCCCGGGCCTCGGACTCGACTGGCGATGGAGATCTCCAGACGACCACGGCTCCCGGCGGGCCCCGGCGCCGACTCCCGGGCCTGCCATCGTGCATTTGTCGGGTTCGTGCGTGTTGCTTTTGCTCGGTGGTCCAGGATGTTCCTCGATGTCTCTCGCCGAGCAAACATGCACGCGTCCGAGCGATGCCAAGCGGGCGGTCGGCGTCAGGGATGCTGGAACTTCCGGGGGGGGCGGCTCTCGGGGCTCGCAAGGGAGCTCGGCCCACGAGCGCCCCCAGGGACCCCAGAGGAGCTCCAGGAGGGTTCAAGAGTCGGGAGGAATATAAAGGGAAATTAGGACACACAAATAAATACACACAAATAAAACTAGTCCCCATATTTTCCCATATTTTCTGGGTTTTTGTCTTCCCGCCCAATTCCCATATTTTCCCATATTTTCTGGGGAATCGAGGATTAATTGTGTCTGTGTGTTTCTTTTCCTCCTGAGAATAGGTGGCAGGCCTAACGATGGCAGCCCAAAGATCCTCCAGGACAGGCCCAAGAGGGCCCCCAGCGGATACATGTATGGGATTGCCCTGCGGCTTTGCGAGGAGTTTGACGTCACCGCATTTTCGGGCTTCCGACCGCCCAAGACGGCCCAGGAGGTCCCAAAGATCGCCCCAAGTCGAGCCAAGAAGGCTCCCATGACGGTCTCTAGACAGCCCGAGAGGGTCCCGAGACGGCCCAAGAGGTCTCCCCAGAGGGCTCCAGAGGCTCCCCAAAGGGCCCTTTAGGGAAAATCCGAACTGACTTCTCCAACTGTTTCCCGCAAGCTGTCTCCCGAGACCGCCAGCAGGCCAGGAAGAGGCCCACAGAGGCACAAAGAAACCCTCCCAAGAGGGCCCAAGAGACCCCTGGCTCAAAGAGTTGTCTTATCGACGATCCAATATGGACCATATGGACCCAAGAAGCCATTGAGAAGCTTCTTCATCATCATCCTCAAATTTTCCCCGCCTCTTCCTCCTTCTCGCTCGCCACGAACACACCAACATATAACATGATACGGTATGGGCCGGCGGACTGAAAGAAATGAGACATGAGCCAAAGTCAAGCCGAAGTCTTCCGCTGGGGGTTACGATGAACAAGCTTCGTGTCGATGTTCATGCACCGTCCCCACCTGACTGCCTGACCGTGGCGCAGAATTGTGAGGCCGTGTGAGATGTTGGCATGTGCGCGCCCACCCCTCACACGAGTGCGCAGCCCTTCGGGCGCACGCAACCCTGGGCACGAGGCCACCCATCGACATGATCGCGCTCGGCCCGTTGGGGGTGGGCGCGCGAAAGCAGCCGCCAGCGAAGCCACTGGTCCCAGTGAGGACGTGTCACGGCGCAGAGCGACCATGACCCTCCACTCTGCTGTTGCTGCCGCTGCAGGTCCTGCTGACTAGACCTCGGCACACCGACCCGAACCACACCGAGGTCGTACTCCAGGCCACCCGACTCCGCGCTGTGCGAGGCGCGACCAAGTGCGCGCTCCCGCCTCGCCCCCGCCCCGCGGATGCGGGCAACTCCCCGGCCTGGACCGCAGATCACCAGCCTCTTTGTGTAATGCGCGTGTAACCTACACACACGAAAGATGACCCTTCTCTTCTCCAGGTCCCTCCTATCACCCTCACCCTCGCCGGGGGAATCAGCTCACGCAGCTGATTTCCCCGGCGCCTCCCAGCGCCGGGAGGCGCCCATGTATCGAGGAGTGGGCCTGGCGGCGGGGCCGAAGCCAGCTGCAGTCAACAGACTTCGTACCCCCCCCCCCTTTCCCAGTCCCCCCCTTTCGTCCGGCCCGACCTTCCTCTCCTTTCCCCATCCCCCCCCTTCGTCCCAATCCCCCCCTTTCCCAATCCCCCCTTTCCCAATCCCCCCCCTTCGTCCCAATCCCCCCCTTTCCCAATCCCCCCTTTTCCATTTCCCCCTTTCCCAATCCCCCCCTCCTGCCCTCGAGGTCGATGCCCGAAGCGAGCCCCGCCGTGGCCACGCCGCCGCCCTCGGAGGCCAAAGCAGGCAACCACACCCCAGAGTCCCCACACCCAGAGAAAACCGCTGCTCCAAAGAAACCCCAAGGAAGCAGCAGCTCCAAAGGAACCCAAAGCAGGCAGCAACACCCCAGAGTCCCCGAACCCGAAGAAAACAGCAGCTCCAAAGAGCACAGCAGCTCCAGCGAGACCCAGCGGAAGGCAAGCCTCCATCCCCCCTCGAAAGAGAACAGCGGCTCCTTCCGATGCTGCTGTTGCGGGCCCGAAAGCTGCCGGCCCCGCGCATCTCGTCCGTCGCAGCCGCTGCATCTCTGGGCGTCCTCGGCTGGACCCCCCGGATCCCAGGAGGGAAGTCTCTTGGTTGAATCTCGACTTCCACAGGTCACGGAAAGACGTACACCCTGCGAAATGCTTAAGAAATCATGGGTTAAGAAATTCATAGTCTCAGAACTTGAACAAAAACCCAACGTGCCCATTAAAATCTTAAGATTTACATTGAAACGTGAAGAATAATCGAGACTATGGCCGAAAACTTAAGTTTTCTTAAGCATCGCCTAAGGTGCACCAATTGAAGAACTACCTCGGCCAAGCCTCTTGCCAACCCCCAACCAACACTTGCCAACCGGGACCTGCCCTCCCGGCCGACCTCTCTGGCCAACCCTGGTTAGGGAACTTCCTTCCATACTATACACCCTGCGAAATGCTTAAGAAATCATGGGTTAAGAAATTCAGAGTCTCAGAAATTGAATAAAACCCAGAACTTCTATCAAAATCTTAGGATTTACGTTGAAACATTAAGAATAATCGAGACTCTGGACGAAAACTTAGGTTTTCTTAAGCATCGCCTGAGGTGTACTATATAGTAGCATGCTCTATATGTGAACAGGGACCGAATCTATCAGTACGCACTCCGTGGATCCTGGATCAAGAACGGCTGGGGGAAATCATTTGACGGTGTTGTAGATGGCCCAAGGCCGTTCGCGGCGACAACGCAATCGACGCTGCAACGACCGACCAAGCGACCAAACGCAATCGACTGCGACGCAGCTGCGCCCTTGGGCTCAGCATGTTTTTCATCCTCGTCCTCCTCCTCCACCTTCTCCTCAAAACTCCTGCCGGGCGCGCCGACGAGGGGGGGGTTAGCGAATCATGGCCATGCGCGAGATCGAGGGGTCAGGGGGTGGGACAGTGACAGGGGACAAATGGAAAGAAAGGATAATGAGACAAGTGCGAATCATCCACATGAGAAGAGTCCAGTCGATAAGCATAAGAGAAACCACAACTATAAACAGGAGAAGGGGGCGTTCCATCTCGGAGATCCCATGGCTCTGGTGCAACGATATCCACACGTCACTTGTCGTCCACCCGTCCCTCGTCTTCGACGACACCGATCATCCGAGCCTTGGGGATGGACAGAATCCCCTTTCGCAAAACGTGGTTCAGTGACAACGACCTCGGGCCCAAACCTGGCGGGCGCGAGCCTGGAACATGACGGCCGCGGCGCCCTCTCGAGAACGGAAAACGGGCAATCCACGAATCGTCGTGTCAGGGTGGGGGTCCTGTCCTTAATGGGCCCTGGAAACGTCAAGGCGTTTTTTTTACCGGTTGCGTTTTGCCGTTTTTTTGCCGGTTCCGACGCCGTTTTTTTAACGGTTCCGTCGCCGTTTTTTGACCGGTTCCGGCTCCGGTTCCAATCCTGGAGCCGTTTTTGTTGCCGTTTCTGGTCGCAGTTTTTTTTGCCGTTTCCACTTTCAAGGGACATGTTTTCTGGAAACGGTGAAAAAACGGCCCTGCCGTTTCCGGGGCCCACAAGGATCCTGTCCACCCCGGAGAGCCCCTCCTCCTCGCCCTTCCCCTCCGCGCGCTCCTCGAGCCTCCGTGCCCTGAACAGAAACGTCGTGTCAGGGTGGGGGTCCTGTCCACGGGCAATCCACGAATCGTCGTGTCAGGGGGGGGGTCCTGTCCACCCCGGAGAGCCCCTCCTGCTGGGCCCTTCCCCTCCGCACGCTCCCCGAGCCTCCGAGCCCCGAGCAGAAACGCCTGGCCGCCGTCGTGTGGCGGCCGGGCCGCGCGTCGGGCGGGCGGCCGCTGGGAGCGCTCCGGGCCACCCCCGAAGGACCCCCGGCGAGGAGCAGCTGCCGGCTCGGGTGTGGCTAGAAGTGCCCGTGCGCCAGCATGCCCCCCAGGATGCTCGGGGTAGCCCCCACGGCCTCCCGAGCACCCCGCACGAGGCCCGGAGGGCCCCAGGGGCTCCAGCATGAAGCGAAAAGCTGGGGGCACGAGGGAGGGAGGGGCGAGGAGGGGCACACTGGAGGGGGAGGTAGGAGGGAGGAGGAGGAGGAGGAGGAGGAGGAGGAGGAGGAGGAGGAGGAGGAGGAGGAGGAGGAGGGGTACTTCTGGCAGCGCCCGACGGAGAAAGGCTGTCCTGGCCCAGAGAAGCGACGGGGGCCCACGGAAACGACCTCCTCATGCTCCTGATCCTCCTGACGCCGCCCCCCTCCGGAGGGGGAGCACTATCGGGGGGGCACTATCGGGGGGGCATTTTTTTTTCCAGCGCCGACCCAGTTCAGAGGTTTCAAAAAACTCCGAATGCAGAGACAGCGCTGAGCTAGAGACAACACTGAGCTCGAAAACCATCGGGGGGACTGGATCGGGGGGGGGAACATCGACCTGGAATCGGCGATACATCGCTGGTAGATCGGCGATGGGTGCCCGATGGCGGAGCCGCGCAGTCATGGGTGGGCAAGGGCTTTCGGGCCCCGATGAACGATGCATGGGCGATCAGGGGTCGATGCGTCCCCCCCCGAGCCAAGATCCCCCCAACAAAAAACTGCCCCGCGGATTGAAAGTCATAACGTCGCTCTCAGGCAGCCGTATTCGGGGCGATGGGGACACCCTTGGAACGCTTTCGGCGAGACGCAGCCGCCGGAAGCGGCACTCCGAGGCGAAGCGGCACTCCGAGGCTGGAAAGCCGCGCCGAGGACCGACGAAAAAGTCCAAACCCATGGGCCCATCGTCCGTTGGTCGGTGGGTCCTCCCCAGTCATGACCCGAGGGATGTGCGCGGACGAGCGGGGGCGGCAGGGGACGTGGTGAAAGAAGAGTCCTCCTCCTCCTCCTCCTCCTCCTCCTCCTCCTCCTCCTCTTCTCCCTCCTCGTCCTCCTCCGAAGAGGAGGCCGCAAAAGCTGGGGCGACTACGGTCGGACCTAGGACATAATCACATCCTTCATACACATCCGACGAACACGAAAACATTGGGGTACCCTCGCCGAGCCGACCTAGATCTTAGAACACCTCAATCCGACTGCACATGGCTCCGGCCATGCTATCCACACACCCCTAGTCCTCCCCGCCCCTCTTGGACGCCCCCAAATCTCTAACCTCCCCCCACTTCGACGCCCCGCCCCCGTCCTGGGCGCCCCCGACTCTGTTTCCACGCTCAGGCAACTGCGTGTAAGCCCTACACCTGCAGGTTCAACTCCTGAAAAACTGGCTGGGGTTCAGAACGAGGATGCCCGCAGCCGGGTAAACCCCAATTGAGGTGCCCGATAGTCCAGCGCCGATTGGAGCCGTAAAGGTAGCTGGAAGGTCCGTCTCAAGCCAGGAGAATTTGGCAAGCGCTGTCCGCCTTGGTCCAGCAAGTCCAGAGCCCGTTTCCCGTTTCCGGTGTTCTGCCGTTGAGGTTGCGGTTCGCATCTCTAGCAGACGTTGTTTTGAGCAATCGGCAAACTTCAATTCATGAATTGATTCAGCGTCGTTCTGACGCACACATTCTTCCAGACGGTGGCTGTGGCAATTCCCAGCTTACCCCGTCTGTGTACGATGTAACATGCTTAATGTAACGTTTGTTCTTTCAGTCCCCACAGCGGCGAGTTGTTTGCGGTTCGCAAATGGTCGCAGAATGTTGTCCCTCCCTACTCGGTGTGGTCGTCGCACCGTTTGGACGCCCCTGAGACACCTAGTCCTCAAGAGGCCTCCAACGGATGGGCCCGAGTATGGGGGTCGGAGGATCGCGCCGCATCGCCGACTTATCGCCGATGCGGCGGTGATGCATCGGCGACATCGGCGATGCATCGGCGAATTTCGGCGTGGAGTACATCGGGACCCCCATCGAGCAGCATCGCCGACGTGGCGAGTTCCTCCGACCCCATCTACTCGGATCCCATTTGGGAGGCCTGGAGCCTGGTGGTTGTCGGGTCACAAAATCCGGCCTCTGGCAGCCCATCGGGACGATCCTGGCTCCCCTGGAACGCTCTCGGCGAGGCGCAACTGCTGGAACGCCTCTCCACTCTGTAGCGAACGAAACAAAAGACACGAAACGAACCGGACGAACGCCGAAGTCGTGCGAGCTCCTTGCGGGAGCTCGCCCGTGCCCCTCAGGGCACACATCCCAAAACATAGAATGCCCACGAGACTTAGGTCGGGCATATCCTCCTGCAAGCGGACTTTGTAAGAGAAAGAAAAAGTCAATCCATACGCAAAAAAACAAAAATCGAAACATCGTCCCCAGACTATTTGTTGACTATTCTCGAATATTCCTCCTGCAGGGGGACATGCCCGACTCAACGCGAGCCCTCGGGCCCCCTCGGAGGCGTCCAAGAAGAGGGGCGTCCAAGAGAGGGGGGGTTCGCAAACCCTGCCCCGAGGCACGTGCACGGACCAAAAGGGGGGGGGGGGGGCAGGAAACGCCCTGCAATGAGAAAAGGGGCCCTGGCATCTGGGGGTTTGATCATGGCCCCCGCCATGAGATCCCCCCCCCTTGGTCATCACCCCTCCCCCCTTCGACGCCTGCTAGTTCTCGGGCCGTACAGTGGAGGCCCGTCCACAAGAAATCTTGCACAAGGAACTCAACCCTGAAACCCCAGGACGTCCATTGATTTTTGGGGTGGGCACGCTTTCCACAGCACAGCCATCGAAACCCAAGAAACCCAGGGCACCCTGGAGGCAAGCAGGACGTTTCTTGGCATGGGCCTCCACTGTAACTCGGGCCTCCGGCGGCCGCTCGGGACTCGGGGCGATCCGGGCGCAACCCTGGAACGCCCTCGACGAGGCGCAGCTGCTGGCAGGGGCTCCCCGAGGCGAGAAGGCCGCCGAGAAGCCGCCCGAGAGCGCCCGCAAACCTCGATGCTCGACAAAACGCCCCCAGTCAGGCACCCCCTCCTCCCCCTCCTCCTCCTTCTCCTCCTCCTCGAACTCTTCATCCTCCTCCTCCA